TCAGATTGCGAATACGTTCATAACTCCTGTTGACAATCGCAGCTGCATACGGTGTTAATTTTTCCAATTGCTTTTGAATTGGCTCAGGAACCTATATAATAGTATAAGAGTAAACTTTTCACTTACGTTGAACTGACGAAATTTCTGCAACGCAAATACAGTATCGTTCGACCGCAGTCTGCAATTTCATGGACGTATTACGAACTTTCCATAAAGTCAACAATAAGGGATCATTTCGTCGGAGGTGCAGTTTCATATGCTTATGAGAACTTCACACCCTGTTGTTAGTGTGGTTACCTAAAGTAATTGCTTTTCTGAAAAGGCATCGCGCCCACATGTGTCTGGTGTTTATCCAAAGTCCATTTAAAAAGTTGTTTGCCTGGGGGAACGTATGACGCATGTAAAAATAGAAATATGAGAACCTACGTATTTACCATTTTTTGCTTTATAGATAACTTACTTTGGTCTAATACGAGTGGAAACTAGTTTTTCCAGTGCATAACGTAGGTCAGGATCACGGAACTGAAAAATGACAGTAGTAATATTATTATTACTATTAATCACTGACACTCAAATACCTTGCGACCGAAGGCTCTAAGCACGTGAAATGAACACAGAATAATTTGGCATCGCGGAAACACCTCCTTCACCGAAAAAATTTCTGTTTGACAGTTACCCATAACCAACGTTGTGGTGCCGTCCGTAAATCCTATAATGGACTGGGACATCCTCAGAACGTGTGTTATATCTGACACAGTTTCTCGTCGACAAAGAGCAAACATTACAGTAGCACCCTATCCACATCCGTCGGTTACAACTAATTGAAAAAGAGTGAATCTGCAAACATTACACTATTATCACTAACTTACCCAACATTATTCGTTTTATACGTAGAGTCACTACATATTACCTCTGGAAAACACTCATAAAACTTAATTTGCTGATGCAGACTAAAATATATTATATCAATCTGACCATTTGAACTCTTAGTCCTAACCTCTCCTGTCGACCGGAATAATTGCAGAACAGAATCCATACTGTAGATACCTTCAGTAAGATAAAGCATTTATGTTCTTTATGTATACCTGCAAACCTTTGCTCTTTCAATTTAACGACATCTTTTCCCGAATTTCAAGAAAACTGGATTTCACTGCTAGAAATCATAGATTCTACCATACCATCCACAATGACCCTCTGCATTCCTGTGAGCTTACGTCTGCTATGGTCAAACATCATAAACTCTTCTGTACACGTATGATTAAGTTCACCCCTCATATCACCAACAACCACACATCCGTTAATTCTGTTCACGCTAAAACTTGACGTACAACCCGTGTGCGTAAAACTGATAAAAAGGATTAACTAAAAAATTATACACTTACGGTGTTCCAGGTCTGACTCCTTCTGATCGGCTTTTTCTTTTCTGACCAAATGTACACACATAATCCACCCGTTCGTACATCAGAATCGGATTATTCCTGTCAGTCCGACTACTTCTGACAATATAATGAATTTGTGCAACTTTGTTACACTCTTTAAAAGCACCCTCAAATGCTTTCCAGGAGTAAAAACTTTGGCTCTTTAAAATCTGGTTGAATAATCTGAGCACATCGTCAGACATCACTAACAACAGCACTTTCACGCTTTTTACAGCACATAATGCCTATTCCGTATTGCCACTGCGTTTACGCACGGTTGAATTACCCAATCACAATGCTTATATATGACTTTCAAATGTGCCTCTATCCTCTGTTGCGATTTCATGGACATAACTTAGGCTCATAGGTGAAAGAAAGTTATTATCCTGGAGAGGACCTGCAGAAAGTAAAGAGGACTTTATTTTTCAGTTTATTCGTATATATACTTTTGCACATCGAGCTGCACTACGATTCCACATGTAGGAAAAGATTATGAATACCTTGCTCTTCTCTTCAGCATAAGAAAGTTACTTCACAAGATTCGCTATATTAAGCTCAGTAAGGACAAATATAAATTTTTCCACTTCAGTGTTGTGAGTTTATTCGTGAACTGTTGGGGGTGAGGCAGGCCTTGTCCCACGTTAGTCTGTGCGCCCGAAGTTTTGCCCCTGCGATTCTGCAGTGAACCCGAAAAAAATGCTAGCTGGGTAAAGTAATGCGTTTGGCATGGATGCTTCATAGTGAAATCAGGAGTGTTCATGTTGTACTAAATCTTCTACGCTTTCTGTATGGATTCGATGTTATCAAGTGGCCATTTAACAACTGCTGAATGTTGCATGCGATCAAGCTAAAGTTATAACTGGTAATTACCAGTTGGAATTAATTCCAAGAATTGTTGTCATTTTCATTGGCAGCATTACACAGCCTATTGAGTTTACACAAGTACAACACCCATTTCTCACTTTACTGAGGAGACATTAACTAGGATTCTGGAAAAGTAGTACGTCAGTATGGGAATTTTATGAATCTGTAGATTGTATTCCATTCACTTAATACTGAAACTAAGCTATGAGGGAACTGATATTTCCAAGAAGGATATAATACAAGGCTCACTTCTACAACTGTCGTCCTTATTTCAGTTCACTTTCATCATATATGTATTAACAGAATTGTCTGTCACTCACTTTGGGGACTTACCAGGGAACAGTCTCGTCAACTTAGTGCATGCTGATGATATTGTCCACTTAGGCTGTTAGAAGTGACCATTGAAACTGGAAGATATGAAAAGACTATTGATTTTTGATCGTAGAGTCTGTGCCCTTTCTTGTGTATTAAGTAGGCTAACATGGTGAGTAATATTGAAGTTAAGCTTAGTGGTAAGTTGAAATGTGACTGCGAACGTTGTTAATGACATAGATGCATTCAATTTGTGTAATGTCAAATATCTGAGCAACCTGTAGCGGTAAATAATTCCCCAAAATTATTGACCATAGCAATCATCACTCAACATTGGATGCTGACCATCACTGTTTAAGTCGACTTGTTTAGCTGAAGGCTTACGGTCAAGCATCCCCGCCATTTGGTACTCCATCGTGTCACGTGCGTTGACGATTACTAGCTAGCTAAGCATTCACCTCTACCCGCGATTTTGTCCCGAAATATACTACGTACTTTGGACAACAAAATTTGGTCTTTTGGTTTATCTTTGGTACTCGAAGAACGAACACTATAGAAGTTGTTGGTATAAGATCTTGCGTTAGTATAATCCGTACAACTCGCGAACGTCGATACATGCAACCCCTAAAAACCCTTATGTCTTTTCCATGTCACTGTTCGTTTTCCATCACACTTATGCTCATTAGAGTTCCATTTAATTTCTTTTTTCTCTACCTTTGTGTGCTACATGGAACGTGATAACTTAAATGGGTGCACTTGTGTGCAAGCTTCTATGTTTAAAGTCAGTCTGCCAGAATGACCTATAGTCCAGGTATAATGAAATGCTAAAACGTGGATAAAGATAAGCGAAATGTCAACAAATGGTTCTGGCCTAAGTGAAAAAAGAGTTACCTTACAATAATTTCTCCTCTTATCCGAGATAACTCTCACACTCTGTCTCGTTATATCTCATGAGTTAGCTTATTTTATCCCGTAGCCCAAATGCGAAGTCAAAACATCTAATGAAATATGTTTTGCTTGTTAGCAACTAAATGTAATATTTTTCAAGTGTGGAACTGCTGCACTTCTGTCCTGGGTTCTGTGTTAAAACTCAGTCAGTCAGCTTTGTCACTGCAGCTGCCCAGTGTCACAACGCCTAAATGAAATACTCATATACATGAATGAAGCAGAAAGTTGTGTGAGTGACTTGATATAATCATGAGCAATAATTTGTGCTCAAAACGTCATAGAGAAACACTTAAAATGTTGTAAAATACACAGACCTATTGCGTTGATGAAGATAACAATGTCATATAATGCAACCTAGATATTCAGTCGTAACACTGCATTTGTACTGCTTTATGTAAATGGAAATTTCAAGAGAAACTTATCTGCAATATTGGTGATCAAAAATATTGCAGCATTAAGTAAAGAGTGTCAGTGGGAATGGTATAAAAGACTGTAGCGGTAAATAATTCCCCAAAATTATTGAACACAGCAATCATCACTGAACATTGGATGCTGACCCTCACTCCGTCGTGTCACGTTCGTGCACGATCCCTAGCCAGCTAAGCATTCACCTCGCTCTACGATTTGGTCGCGAAATATGTCTCGTAATTTGGACGGGCAGTTGTGATCTTTTGTTTTGCCTTTGGTCTACGTGGAACGAATACTATAAAAGTTGTTGGTATTTGATCTTGCGTGAGTATACTCCGTACAATCCGCGAACGTCAATACCGTTAGCCTCTAAAAGACAACAGATTGATAATAATAGAGCTAACTAGATTCAGTTCTCATAATCAACACAATCCATGTGTATAATAGTACTATGCACTGAATTAGTTCACTAAGTGAAAGAGTGAGGGGAGTTAAACGAGTAATTGCCTTCTCCACTGCATTGCACTCGCGACAATCATGAGAACCATTTACATTTTTTAGCCTAGCAGTCAGCTAAGCAGACAGTGGCACAATATTAGTAAAGCAGAGATATTTTTTGTACATCGAATCTACATAATCCACATTACATTGCATCTATCATTGCAAATATATATGAAATCCACTTAGAGATAACCTTTCAACTTACGATAATTCCTGTCCAAACACACACGGTGAAAAATGCATCTACATGATAAATTCTGTTCCCACAGAAGGTTATGTTAGCATTTACAGATGATTTCCATGTACCAATAGTATTAATTTGTCAAGTAGTATTGTTCTTCACACGAAAATGGGCTGTATTGATATCGTGAGACGTGAAGTTTTCATTAAATGATACTATGCCGAAAGCTGCAGCTTCTACATGTAGTAAACCATTCGTGTAGATGACACTACCCTCTAACTATCCCATTATGCTCATTATAGCGATATTTTGACAAAGTCCACTTATCATTGCAACCAATGTGCTAAGAGCGCACCGCAGTCGGATTGCATGACGCGAACACCAACATGACATGTTAGGAAATGAGAATTCCTATCAATTCAGAAAACATATAACACAATTTTATTAAAAATTATTGCCAAAAAAATTTACCGAGCCAAATTTCAATCAACATGCCATAATGCATCGTGATATGTTCGAAATATTTGGAGGTTCATTTGGTAGTCCTAGTTACATAAGGCATGCCTTCTGAAGATTCTGTACCTGTTAAGCAGAAGGTAAGTGTGATTAATTCTAGTAAGACAAACAGTAATGTTTATGAGTACTAAGTTCTTTGCTAATGCGGTCAAGATGTCTATTTTTCAGGTTCGTTTAATATACGCTTCTACTTCCCAATTAGGTACAGAAAATTACCGAACAAATGGCAAAGTCTTCGGTGAAGCAGAATGAGATAAAGTACAACTTAAAAGTCCCCAAGGTAATTTGTGTGGTAATCTGATATTCTCAGGGTACAAGAGATCGTGACCCGGTTCAAATGACTGTTCTTGAAGGTGTATTCAATACAATAATACAGTGTTTCAAGCGTCATGATGCAGTAACAATCGAAACGCCTGTTTTTGAGCTCAAGGTATTTTACACTTCGATTGTTTTCTAAAAGATTAGGAAGTTTTGACGGGGAAATACGGCGAAGACTCCAAGTTGATATATGACCTCCAAGATCAGGGTGGCGAAACACTTTCTTTGAGATATGACCTTACTGTAAGTTGCAGTATGCAATGGTAATATGTTGCAGGTCCCGTTTGCTCGTTATGTTGCTATGCATAAAATAAAATCTATCAAGCGTTATCAAATTGGGAAAGTTTATCGTCGGGACCAACCAGCGATGACTCGAGGTCGTTATCGAGAATTTTACCAGTGTGTAAGTACATGATAGCTACGTTTGTTTTGTTCAGAATATTATTCCCGTCTCAAGTACTAGGTATTTGTATTAATTTGTGCCACCCAAGAAGTGTACATGATTACCAAAGCACCAACTGGTGGCTTTTAATTCTCCACAAAATAATACTCTACTATTACACTTTTTCGTTCTTTAGGATTTCGATATTGCTGGGGATTACGGACCAATGCTGGCCGATGTCGAATGTCTCCGAATCATATATGAGGTCCTTTCCGAACTAGCATTAGGTGACTTTGTTATCAAGGTCAACCATAGGCGTCTGCTTGATGGTTTATTTGCAGCTTGTGGTGTATCTGCTGACAAGTTTGTAACAACTTGTTCTTCAGTCGACAAATTAGACAAGGTGAGCTTTAATTTTTTCTCGATGCCCCGAACAAATACAAAATGAAATGTACTAAATTTGTTGTTCGGTCTTAATTCATTTAAAAGTTCTCCCATTAGTCCTTTTAATATATGTTCGTTTCATTTAATAACTTTGATGGATTTACATCCACCTTTGATAACTCGTGTAATTTCAGTTTTAAATTTCGACTTGTCCCTTGTTTGAAATGCGTTATAGTGACAAATCAGAGTAGTGAAAATAAACATTTTATTTATGGATTACATTTCCTTTGGCTTATTTTTCAGATTTATTGGTTGAGGATAGAAGGCTTGGAGCCTATGTTAATCTTTTTCTAGTAAATTTCTGTGCTTGCCCAAACCCTTCTTGAATGAGTCAATTGAGGTCTCTGACACCATTTCTTTTTGGAGTGAGTCCCAGGAGTTCATGACTCGGTGTAAGAACCAGCACTCAACAGCAGTATACTTTCGCCTTGACTTCTGAACTCTAAGGTGTTCCGAACTAGTGAAAGGAAAAGATTGGATGGATCACGTCCATAGTCATTACTTAAAATTTTAAACATTGTGATTAAATCTGCTCTCTGCCTACGGTATGATAGGGAGAAGAGATTTAAAATGTCTGGTCTTTCTTCACATTATATGCTATTCATGCCAGGAATCGTGCGTGTTGCCTTCCTTTGAACCCTTTCTGGAGTGTGTGAGTCCCCTTTAAGACAAGGACTGGTTGCCTGGATACAGTTTTCTAGTCTTAACCTCACCAGAGATGAATATAAGGAGATAAGCATATCTCTGATGATTCTAATATAGGCTTGCGAATTGCCCATAAGGATCTGAAAGTACGTGCAGTCACCGCGCGACAGTGTGCTGTAGTTTTTAAATCGTGGCTAACTATGACACCTTAAATCCGAATGAGTCTGAACTGATCGGAGTGTAATTCCCTCTAGTTCGCAGGAGCTGATGCATGCTTGTCCGATGCGCATAGTTGCACATTTTGCTACATTGATCGGGAACATCCATTCTCTAAACCACTCTGACAGTTTGTTGAGGTCCGTTTGCAACGTGGGCATATCATTGTTGCCCTTCAGCTCTCTCCAAATTTTTAGTCATCTGCGTACAGGACCATAGGGGAATCGGTGAGCAGAGATGACTTATTGATGTAAAAAATAAATAGGAGAGGTTCGAGTACCGTGCCTTGTGGCACTCCGCTACGCACTGCTGTCCAAAAAAGAGTTTTATAGCATTATTCGACTTTATGGTTTTATTTTCGCACTTGCCTTCTATATTACCTTGTTACTGTGTCAACTTTAACTGGTGAAGAGCCGTGCTAGGTCTCATGTTAATATTGTTGTCCACTAAATATTAGTTATAACCTTGATTTGCATCCGCCTTTTAACATTTTCCTAGGTTCCTTGGGAAGATGTCAAGCGAGAATTATGTGAAGATAAAGGCATATCTGTCCAGACAGCTGACAAAATCGGTTCCTACGTTCAGTTATCTGGGGGTATAGATCTAGTTGAACGGCTTGAATCTGATGAAAATCTCAGCAACCAACCTTCTGCAAAAGCTGCTTTGCAAGATATGAGACTGCTGTTGGGCTACTGCGAAGCCTTGGGTATTAAAGATAGAATAGCTTTCGACCTAAGTCTTGCACGTGGTTTGGACTACTATACAGGTGTTATATATGAAGCTGTTCTAAAAGGTATGTTCGATTTGTAGTGATACTGCAATGATGTGCTTATTTTTGCTTTCATTCCGGTGGTTATCAGTTAAAACTTGGTTTTTGGTTTTCGGAAGTATTTTCTCTAATGAATAGATACTTTTTTCAACTCACTGTTCCAGTTGTTCCAGAGAGGTAATATAAACTTCTATATTGATATTATCCAATAAATATGGATAATTTAGTCATATAGCCTCACATTTCCTTTTCTTGTATACCATGTATTATTTTTGCCGGTGTGATGTTTAGCTGACCAAGGAATCGAAGTATTCCTTCAGAGATGAAAATAAACTTATTACGTCATAGAATCCTATTTAGCGATGAAAAGTTTCCTTCTTTCCCATGGTAATGGGCTTGAATTTATGGTTGCATTAGGGAAATAATTACGTAGATGTCTATTAAGTCTATGAAGTCTCTTCTTTCCTGGGAATAACTTATTTGTCATTGTTCCCTTGGGTTCCAAGTTGAAGATGGGGCTTCAGCAGCACATCTCCATTTTGTCCTATTCTTTGCGGTCTTCTTTACCTGGCCGTACGACTGCTCATAGTCTCTCATCTCGTCTATGTCACACTTGGACCCGTGCCCAACTCGTAGTTTCCCACTCGAGGACCTGATGCGCGATCGTCTCCGATCCGACTCCATTTTCTTCTGCCCATTTGTTGAGCAATAGGTTCTCGGTTAGTTTTTTCTCATAGTTTATTGTTGCTAATTCCTTCTGGTCGGCCACTTGATCTTCAACATAGAGCCAGCTAAGGTAGCTGTTGACAAAAGTCTGTAAGCTGTTGGGAATTCTTTTCGTGACGCCCCAAGTTTCTAACTCATATAGAAGAACTGACTTCACATTTGTGTTGAAAACCCGGATCTTGTTCCTTGTGCTGAGTACAGAAGATTTCCAAACTGATTTCAGGTTAATGAAGGCTTATCTTGCCTTTCCGATTCTGGCTGGCTTTGACATCTTCATCTGTTCCGACTGCCTGTGGTTGAAATTGTGCTTCCTAGAAAAGTGAAGGAAGTAACCTCTTTCAAATTTCTCATGAATGATGATTGGTACTGGTTGTTGTTGCTGTTGGTTGGTGATCTGCATCACCTGTCTTCTTAATATATATGTATATATACTTGAAGTCCTGTCTTCACTGCCTGCTTCTTCAGCTAGTTTGCTGCTTTTTGCCTGTGTCTTCAAATTTATGTGACATTAGACATGAATCGTCCACGAAGTTCATATGTTCTAGTCTAATCGGTCCAGCGTACTCCTGTCTTCTCGCACCCCACAGTCCGATGCACAATTCATTCCACCACAATTAAGAATATCATCGCTAATGGTAGACAGCCTTGTCTTACTCTTGTATTTACTTCAGACGTCTCACTGAGCTTCCCGTTGTGGATCAACTGACACCTGGCATTGTCATACAGGTGTTGAATGGAGCTGATAAAGATTTGGGGCACACAATTGTGTTGAAGTGGTGGTTTCCGAGTCACTTCGTGGCCAACGCTGTCTGTCGAAGGCCTTTTCGAAGTCGATGAAGTTAAGGTACAGGTTTGACTGCCATTCTATGCTTTGTTCTGTGATGACGATGCGTAGAGTTGCAGTTTGATCAGCACATGATTTGCCTTTCCTGAATCCAGCTTGTTCCCGCTGGTGGAGTTCTGCATCCAGAGGATCTTTTATTCTGTCCAGGATGACTCGACTTAAATACTAAGGATTTAACTTAGCGTGGGCAAGAGCATGATTCCACGACAGTACTTGCAGAGGCGTAAGTCGCCCTCATATGATAGTTTCACAAGGTAGCTAGCCTTTCTTCCAATCAGTAGGCACCTTTACCCCCTCCCAAACTTTTTTCAAAAGTGGCGTGAACATATCTGCTTCAGTCTCTGAATCCCTTTTCAGTGCTCTAAGAGGAGTTTTTTCCGGTCCTACAGCACTGGACTTCGGTAGCTTGACTGCATTCAAGACTCGCTTTCGTTGGAGGATTGGTGTCCACTGACAGTTCTGTGCATGCTGTTAGTGATGGTATTTCTGAATGAGTTGCAGGTGATGGTCGATTCAAGAGTCCTTAAAAGTGATCAACTCTTGTTTTATTTGTTTCTCCTTGGTAATCAGATTTCACATCCTCACGCTTATTTTCTGTCATTGAATGAAGACACATCAGCTAACTGACTGGCTTCCCGAGGGCTTTCACCAGCCCGCGTCATTTCGCCTCCAATTCCAGCAAAAATAAATTTGTGTTTTATATTTTATGTGTGCGTCAGAGTTTCTGTAGCTATTGATAGGGTCGCTGGCCCTACGCCTAACCCTCCTTTCCTTCCTGGGCTTATGATACGCTGAAGAACTAGCGAACCGGTAAACTGGGGGAGGTTGAAAACAACTTACATTTTCTCTTTTACTTACCAACTATAGACTAGCTCACTTGTTGTAGAAACAGCTTAGAATATAATGCTCTTAAAAATAACTAGTGAAAGAAGACTTTTTGTTTACTGAGTTGGCTTTTGTTAGAATCTAAGCAAGTTGTGTAAGCGATGAAGTGTAAACTGTGCGAACATAAATTTATCTGTTTTTTAAATTGAACATTCAGAGGTGTCTTGTTGGCGGTAATTCTCCAGAAATTTATTTGGATTATTGTAGAACCCTGATAAAGGAATGAAAGATTTGTGGTATCCATTGGATAGTTATTTACATAAAGATTAATACTTAATGAGAAAAACCTCCATTATTGTCTGAGGACTTCACAACTTTTTCACTTGTCCTTAATGGATAGGTTTTTCAGTGATATAAGAATAAAAGTTGGCTACTTGTAGAGTATAATTCTACCATGAAGAAAATTTATTTGATAAAGTCTCACAGTATTGTACAGTAATATTTAATATAACATTGTGAGACTTCATCAAATAAATTTTCTCAATTTAGGTTTTTTTCATTTGTTAATTAGGGCATATTGCAGGTTGGATTTAATTACACTCATCAGAATGATTCGTATTTACGATATTATTCATCCAATTTTGATGCTCATGCTCTAATAGATGTAAAAAGTGGTAGTATCGTGCACGACTAGTGAAGTGTTAATTTCCACTTCTTTGAACATAGTGATGTTTTAGACCACTGATAAATGCTTGACATTCACTTAATGTTCCGGATTGAGATTAAACAAGGGAACGTTACACTGCATATACAGTGTTTAGTCAGGCAGTTATCCCAGAAAAGATAGGTTAAATGTGAGATTAACATTCCCAACCATTAAAAATAACTCCACCGTTGCTGAAAATTCTACTTGAAACGCAAGAAATATGAAGGAGGAAGAGTTAGGTTTTTAAAATTTAACCAGTTGTGAAAACCGTCAGCAATGATCGTGTGGTCGCTATAGGACTGCCGCTCCTTCTGGAGCAATTGTTCGGTTTCCGATTATGCTTTAGTATATGTTAGGTTTCTCTTGCGATATGACGGTAATGACTGACGTCGTTCCAAACTGGTTGCACTTGCTACTGCTACCTATCACCATTGTTCTTAGTCAGTTGTTGGAGTTATCCGGTCTCGTCATTTTTCCTTAAACTTGCCGTCGACAACAGTATGTGCGTAGCCCTGAAGGATCTTCGTTGTGGCGTATATCTGCCGTCTGGTGGAAGAATTTCCCACTTCCAGTATGCAGACGGTATCGTCTTGCTGTGTGGTAACATATAAGCAACCCAAATTACACTTAATCAGTTGGCGTGTATTAAGTATGCTTTTCTACATAGTAGTACAGTACAGTAGTAGTACTGTTACAAGTTTTACAGAATCTGTACTCGAATCTATCCTTTCCTATGAGCCTTCAGAAGTAGCCGATGGAGTTTCAGATGGTATATTGAAAACCAGGGCGGCTTATGCCAAAGTGGGTTATCCCTGAAGCTATTGCAACGTTAATCTTGCAGCCTAAGGTCAAATTTATAACACTTCACAGTCTTCCATTACTCATGTAAAATCGGGTATTTACTAACTAGGAATATATGGTGTCTTTTCATGTTCACTCATCTCAGTCTCCTTTGGATTGTTTGCATCTAATAATCACACTGTTTGGGTGATTCTGAGGTTTGACATTCTGTTTTTTGACCTGAAGGGGATAGTTTTCCAGTAGTTTATCTCATAGTGGGACACAGACTTCAGTGTTTCGAACATGTACCAAGAATATCATCTCTACAGCTTCCATACTATTTGCTATTTTGTTGGTTGGGGACAAGCACGGAGATGGACCATAATGAAATTAGCATCTGTGGGCGCATTGAAACTCCTTGAATGTGGTACGAGAAATGGTTCGACTCAGTGACCCGGGATATTGTCATATATGGTTCAAATGGTGATCAGTGGTGAATATCTTTCAGTTTCCTCTTTTTTTTGTGTTTTTGAAAGTAACGTGAAGTAATGAGCGTCCTTTTGACTGCTGTTAGTAAGTATGGTTGCCTGTTTTCATGTTATTGCCTATCAGCTAACCTATTTCCCTTTTCCTTTTATTGTTGTATCATTTTTGCATGGTGCATCTGTTTATGCCCGTAATGAACCAAGTTTATATTTTATGTAAAATGGTATGCTTTCACAACTTTGAAATGGTAACCTACTGATTATTTTTTAAACAGGTTTCACGTACAATCCAAACTGTCCAAATTCAGGTTCCGGTGAGGCTGAGACGACATCTGCATGTAATGAACCGATAGCTGTTGGTAGTGTTGCTGGTGGCGGTAGATATGATGGTCTGGTTGGAATGTTCGACTCATCGGGAACACGAGTGCCATGTGTTGGTTTTAGTTTCGGTGTTGAGCGTTTATTGGCAATCAAGGAAGCACTGGCTACTTCGGATAAGAACAAATCCATTGTGCGATCGACTGAAACTGATGTAATGGTCGCTGGTGCTCACAAAGGTCTTATTATGCAACGTTTGCAATGTTGTCGGCTGTTGTGGGATGCGAAAATAAAGGTGAATATTAGAGTTTTGATCACTTAATATGCCTCAGACTAACAGGTATCAAACGATATTTGTTTAGTTTTATTCCTTCAACAGAATGAAAAAATTCTTTTATTGCTTTAACCATAAACTGACTTCATTTGGAGAACCACTAAAAAAACCAGGCCTACTGGTGGCTGTCGCGTCCTAGTTTGGGACTGTTTAGTAGTACGCACACGTGACCCCATCGGGGATCGAACCCGGAGCCTTCAGCTTATGAGACGAGTTTGTTGACCAGTCAGCTACTGGGAAGAATCCAAAAGCCCTAAATTTTAACTCCTGCCAATGCTATCGGTGAGTGTTTGTCCTCCCATCCGATTTGGTGGACCCTGCTGGTCATGACTTCTCACTAGAATTCTAGATAACTTCATCCTGTAGTTAGTCACTACTGAACATAAGGGCAATTTTCACGTTTTATTTTATTTCTCATCTCAAAACAAATCCTTTGGTTTCTTTGTGAAGGAAACAGTATCCACATAGATTTATTTCTTTTGTGTTTTATTTGTCTTTTGCTAATCACCGGATATCTCTTTACGACGTCTTAAATGTAACTTGCATAATTAATAATAGCAGAACGTCATATTTGAATACCTACTTCCACTTAAAATATGATTGGATTTATCCAAGTACATATATATATACATATGTCTGTTATTTTATTAATTATGATTTCCTTTTGCCGTACCTCAGTTACAAGTATTTAATATACGTATGGGCTATGAAGAGCAGCGTATGTTCACACCTTGCATCTGTCACGGGGGAAATTTGAATATTATTAGGGTCATTCTAAAATATTTAGTGCTTCCGTAATGCGCTGATGTGAGTAGAACTTTGAGTATATATCGCACTGTACTTAATTTAGAATTTTTGTATGACATTTTCATATGCTTTGTTAATATTGTGTAATGTGTATTCTTGTGCGCTAACGGTGTTCCTTCTTTTGTTTTACAAATTGATAGACTACTATGTCGCATAAAAATCATCCCAAACTCCTAGATCAATTGCAGTATTGTGAGACAACCGGTATTCCTTTAGCTGTGGTATTGGGTGAAGGCGAATTAAATCGTGGCGTTGTGAAGATTAGAGATGTTCAAACCCGGGAGGAACTTGAAGTTCCGTATACAGAGCTTGTGAATAAAATCAAGGAAATTTTATCTTCGAAGAAGCAAAAATAAAATTTCTTTCCATTTAATGAACATTGTGATACGAGAATAATCATGCATTTTGTTGTATGTCTTGTCAGCTGTAAAATTTGTTTATCATTTTATGTGCTGTTTGGTAATAATAATAGTGGACTCAGGACTTTGTACTTGTTATTCGTTTTTCTTTTCAACTGATTATAGTGCTGTCCTACCCATGTATTCCTGGGTAACCCAGCACCAAATCATTTCTGAGGTATCATTACTGTAATCTTCTTTCCCATTGTTCATTAGATACTATAAACTATCCATAATTGAAGCTTTACCTTATAGCTCTTATATCACGTTTGTTTGTAGGTAATAGTAAGCTGAAGGATGTGCTTAGTCATTGTCAGGCAGCTCATATTGTTTCTTATATCACATATGGCTTTTAACATGAACTTCCACTGGTTTTTTCAACGACAAAAAGCAACTTTGCAGTTGCAATGTTTATACGAATTCCGTTAACTTAAAAGTAAACTAAAGTTTGTTGAGGAAACAAACAGTTCATTCAAAAGGTGTACAACTGCAACTTTGTACAATGTTTGGTAAAGACTTGCTGTGTGCTATATACTAACAGTAGGCTTTCGCACAGGTCAATTGTAAAATGCCAGTCTCATAAAGTAAACATTAGAGACTAATTAAAGCATGACAGAAGACACGAAGAGTAAATAGTTTAAATCAAAAGTTGCATGATAACAGTAAATGCATAACCATTCAGTCAGTTAATTGGGATTTCGTCTCCGGATGATTCAGAACTTTTCCCCTACTGTGTGTAGGTTGTCAGGATTCAATATCAATAAGGGTCACCAGTCGTGCGAATCACTTCAGTGTGCTTTTTATTTTCAACCAATAAGTATGAATGCATTAAGACTGGATAAGTGTTATACGTTTGTGTTTCTTACAAGTAAGCTATCAGATATATTACAATGCGAATCATTGGCTGAGGTTTCGTGTGTATTTAAGACAATAGTTTAGATTGGGACGGCGTTGTGGAGATACATGGGAGAGGTGAAAGAAACACAATATGAAGGCCAGAAGTACCACAACACGAAGATCTGTGCAAATTGTGCGTTGAAGACAGTGTTCATAATTTGGCTAGATACCAATTTTCTTTACCAAATGTTCGTCTCCCACCGTTTCAATTGGTGTCGCTGCCTCCAGACATTGGAGATTCCATGGCAGGTTTCTTTCGAGCAAGGAGACATCAGGAGCTTCTTACAGGACTTTGAAGCCGTCTCTGAGTTGGTGGGCGTCAATGATCCGATGGCGAAGGTGGTAGTGCTAGGGATGCTGCCGCGAGGTCGAGCAAAGGCGGCGTACGACAGTGTAGAGCGGTCAGTTGGGGTGGAGACCTTGAAGCTGTTAGTTGAGCGATTGGTATCGGAGTCGACGGACAGGCAGCTGGCGATGCAGCAGTCCCGTGCCACAAAGCTGGGACCGGATGAAGACCCGCTAGTGTTGGTGGTGGGGCTGACGAATCTACTACGTCGTGCACTCATTCATTGGATGAAGAGTCGGAGTCGCAGTTATTGGCTTCCCAGTTCATCGTCAGTGTCCCAGAACACATTTCTCGGCAACTACAACTGGTTAACGCTGCACAACCCACGGACATCGGTGAGCTGGTGAAGGTGACCAGACAGCTGCTGAGCACAATGGTAGCAGCTATAGAGCCACTGAAACTCAACGAATGGGAACGGAAAGTGCACTACGAATGAGAGGGGCAATGCATCCGAATTCCAAGTGAATGGCTGAGAAGTAGTGTGCCTGATAGACACAGGGGTAGCAGTCTCACTAATAGATAGGAGTCTGTGACAGCGTCAGACACAGCTTCATTTCATTTGAGATCAGCTGGTGGATATCCGCCTTCAATCTACCCAGCTTGATATGAATTCATTAATCAAAGCGCAGAAGCGTGTCTGTCACCAATGGGTGTTAGGTAGTTCATGGTGAAATCGGTCTTTTCTGTAGATTAGTCCCGTTTGCGGAAAAATTAACCGTTTGTTTAATAATCTTTCTCACTGACGTCATTTTACAGCAAAGACCGAAAATACCCATTGAGTCATGAAGAAAATAGAAGAGATTCAGCGAAGGAAATTTTCTTTATCGACGAAATCATCTTCAGAGGCTGTACAGTCGTATTTATACTTACAAAAAATATATAGTGGTCTATTATTGAGTAATAGGGGGTGACATAATTAATATAATTACTCAGAAGTGGCTTTAGAAGTGAAAGTTAAAAGTTGTAAATTACGTGGTACTCAACGGAACAAAGATAGAAATTTGATAAGGTTAAAATTGCTATTGAGTTAGAATAAAGGTATTTGAGTGTCAATTTAACAAGTGTGAAGAGGGTGTGAAAATATACAAAAGGAGCATATGAGAGTGATAATAGTGAATTAATTATTAAAGCAAAAGCAAACTAAAAGTAAGATTAAAAACTACAAAAAAGAAAATATCAAAAAGTTTTTTATAACACGGAACGATTAGTGAGAAGGTTAAGACCAAGGTAGAATAAGAGACTGGACAAACTTTTTCTGTATACAGAGTTCAGGGTTGTATTGATGAATTGCCAGCGCCTCCGCCATACACAAAAGCCGAAACCTGACGCCCTTTGTACCATTTGGCTTCACTTTGTAGATGATCTTGAAAGACGATTCTAGTGGAGCTACGTGGCCTGAGTTCACCAAATGCTCAAAAATTGAGCTAGTAATTGTCTTACACTGTCCCTTTGCTAACCATGCCAGATAATGTTCAGAGATGCGTTTGGAAAGCGTGCGTTTTGTGCGGCCAATATAACTAGCTCCACACGAGCAGGTGAATTTATAAACACACAAAGTGAAGCCAAATGGTACAAAGGATGTCAGGTTTTGGCTTTTGTGTATGACGGAGGCGCTGGCACTTCATCAATACAACCCTGAACTCTGTATACAGAAAAAGTTTGTCCAGTCTCTTATTCTACCTTGGTCTTAACCTTCTCACTAATCGTTCCCAGTTATAAAAAATTTCGATTTTTTCTTTTTTGTAATTTTTAATCTTACTTTTAGTTTGCTTTTGCTTTAATAATTAATTCACTATTATCACTCTCATATGCTCCTTTTTTATATTTTCACACCCTCTTCACACTTGTTAAATTGACACTCAAATACCTTTATTCTAACTCAATAGCAATTTTAACCTTATCAAATTTCTCTCTTCGTTCCGTTGAGTACCACGTGATTTACAGCTTTTAATTTTCACTTCTAAAACCACTTCTGAGTAATTATATTAATTATGTCACCCCCTATTACTCAATAAGAGACCACTATATATTTTTTGTAAGTATAAATACGACTGTACAGCCTCTGAAGATGATTTCGTCGATAAAGAAAATTTTCTTCGCTGAATCTGTCTTTTATTTACAGCAAAGCTTTAGTTTTCAGTAAATGCATATTGACTACTTGACAGTAGTGCTATTTGATGAATGAAAATATTTAGATATTCAATTTTCACGAATCATCACAGTCGGGTGGAAATAATAAATGCGGTTTGTCAGTATGAATGTTAGCAAAATATCGAAAATGAATTCTGCGTCCTCCGTATTTTCTCCGTCACTAGATTCATGCGTGGTGATTTGAATACGTAGAGGTGACTGGTGAACAGTCAGTCTTATTTCGTGAAAAGTATATTCGACCACCGGTAAAAAATTCAAAAAGAGAGTAGGCTGGTGGAAAAAGGAGACGCGGTCATTGTAATTGCCATTTCGTGATAAGATGACTGAAAGACAATGAGTATTTGGTAAGACTGCATCATGATGACAGTTTTCCTCGATTCAACACATGATTGCAATACATGTGAGTTCAACTTTACGCATCACCTATTGACGCAACGTAATACCAATGCTGGCACTAAATATCGAGAAAAGCCAGTCAGTGTTCCGAGATAATGAAGGAGACTTTAAGCTCAACGAGATGTCGTTGACATGGTTGTGCTCTCTCAAGCAGGTGGTTCACTTTCGGAGCTCCCTTCCAGATAACATATTCACAGGTTAATTTAATGACGAGGAGAATGGAAGCTCAGAAAGTGAACTCCCTGGTTTAGGCAGGAGAATCGTGTTGGTGAGGTGTCTGTATATACAGATTCTGTCCGTACTCTTACGTCTGTGTTTCATTGGCTGCATTGCAAAAATTCAGTTAAGATCGTATACATTATGACATAAAATTATTTGATTACTTGATATAGCAACAATAAGTAAAGTAGGGTTTAATTGAATTTTAGATTTTTCCCGTCGATTGATTGGACCGAAGTGCTCGGTCTCAGGTTGACATGTCGGCTTTTTGAGCAGATGCTTCGACGATGTCTGGGCATTTAATTAGTATTTAATTGGTGGATGGCGACTAGCAGTGGAATCTAGGATGTGCATTTCGTCCTATTTGGGGCTCGTCATCTGGATGTACCTGCATTTCTCAGTGAGTGATGATGTTCTCACCGAGGTTCGAACCAAGTGCCCATAGTTTCCAACGACAAAGCGTCATCCACTAGACCACTTGGGCTACGAGAGCCACGTCTTGTGCAACGGGTCATATTGATTTAATTGAATTTTAGATTTTTCCCGTCACCATCCACCAATTAAATAATAAGTAAAGTAGGGTGTTAACAGTGATTGTGAAATTGTTCATGATTGGATTTACTTTATTGATGATTAGATATGCAATGAAGTGTGAGATGGTATGTTATACCAGTGAAAAGATATCACAATGGTTTATGTTCTGTTGTAACTTGTAATACCTCAGCATAGTGATAATTTATTCACAGATTGAAGTGGACATAACATTATTATTATTATCATCCGATTATAACCACTGCTCAGTGACAAGAGTGGAGAGTGCGTACTTGTCGAATCTACTTCTCCTGCTTCTTTTTGTTTCATTATTGGTTTTGACACCGTATTGATTCGCATATGTACTGGAAGCGGACAACCTGGTTACTAGATTTCGTTCTTCAGTGTAAGTGTAGAGCTTCTGCACTGTGGTAGAATGTAATTCCATTTTAGATAAGTTTATTTTGATGATCACACAGTGGTGCAGTAGTAACAACTGGACGTACTGTTGCCTTACGTATTTCCACCTTTGCAATCGCTTTATTTTTGTCGTTTCTCAAGACTTTTAGAGCTGCTATTTCTTGTGATAAGTTGCTTCCTCCCGATTTTTTAGAGTCAAGGCACATTGTGCTCTGACTTGTTCCGCAGTAGTTTCGTCTATTTCACTGAATGCTACTTCTCTACTAGGAATGATGTCTTCA